TTTATTTGTCTTGCATGGCTTTTGTGTACCTACAGTGACGATGGTGATGGCGATGATGGCGACGTCGACAACGACCTCTATGTGTGATCAAGCCAGTTTTGTCGCTGCTGTTGCCTTTCATTTAGCTTGCTTTCAAAGCTTCCTAGCAGAAACTGTTTCTTAAAAACTACAACCACAATAGTAATAATAATAATAATAATTACAATAATAAAAATAATAATAATAATAATTACAATAAACATAATAATATTAATAATAATAATAATAATAACAGCAACGACAACATCGACACCACCACCACCACCACAATTACAGCAACCTTCATCCTCATCAACAACAACAATCTCTACACAAGAGATAATCTGTTGAATTCAGTTTACCAACATATTAGACCAAGATAAAGAAAGAAGAGGGCAGAGGGCTTTATTCTTCTGTATTGCTAAGCTGATAAAAACTGTTTAAGAGAAAAAGTAAAATGAAAAAATAAGAATCGAGAGTTATGTTCAGCTAACTCTTCCACTACAGTTTTTTCCATTTCCGATAAACTGTATATCACTAAAAATTTTCCACTGTTTTTTCTTTTTTCAAAAATAATTTTCCCTGGTAAGCTTCGACATACAGTGGTCAGTTTTTTGCTAGCTTTTGCTCAACAAAAGGAATTTGAAGGTATAAAAATTACGCTAAGAGTACTATTAATGCTGCTACCCGTCATTTCGTTTTTCTTATTCCTCTTCGTTCGCTCATCTTCCCAAACCCTCACCAATCCCGCCCTCGTCACTTTTTTCCGGTTTTTTTTCTCCACCTTAAATTTTTTTTCAGTTGCTGTCGTTGTTGTTGTCGTTTGAGGCGCACTTGTGAAAAAAGTTTTTCCGACATTTAGCTCTTTTCCTTCCTTGCCCCTCATTTCCACTCCATTTTCCTCACTGCCTCTCTGCCTCTCTGTCTGTGTGTCATTTACTTACTAAGATTAAAGTCATTATCGTTGCTAGTGCTGCTACTGCTGCTGTTGCCAGTGCAGCAGTGAGAAAGTTTAGTTAAAAAGTTTTCTAACTAGAAATGATCTTTTGAGAAGCGAAAGAGAAAACACGAAAAAACTCCTTTTTTTACAGTTTAACGATAAAAATTCATTAATCGCCTATACTGTGAAGGATCAAGAGCAAAAGTAAGTTTTAACTGTCAGCCAACTAGCTTAAGCGTTGTGGAGAGAGAGAAAAATAAGAGGAAAAAGATTTATGAGAGGATCAAAGAACAATGACAGAACACGGTAGCGCAACATCAAACTAACGGTAAGGTTTCTGGGTGTGGAACAAAAAGAAAAAAAGCAGTCAGTAAAACTCATAAGTGCCGAAACAATAAGAGAAGATGTAAAGTTTACAAACAATAAATTTCAACAGAACTTAAACTTCAAAAGCAATTAATTCAAAAAAGAAAAAAAAAA